ACATACCTTTCGGACAGTTGCCAACTTGCCAAGAGGAAAACGAGTAGTTTCCGACAAGTAGACTCTACACGTGCGTAGCATGCATACTAAAAACCAGAAAGATTAGGTCGAGTGGAGTTGGATGATGAAGAGAGTCACTGAGCTCTCGGTTCATTCGTTTATTATAAATAAATGGGCAGAAACCTTTTGGCTTTTGTGTTGCACACAACACAGAGCCTTCTCTTTTTAATTATTTCTCAGTTTTTAATAAATTTCAAAATATTTTAGTTTCAAGGTTCATCGGTTGGCAACCAATTAGCAGGAAATTTTTAAGAATCCATGGCGATGAAGCGTGTGCTTGTTTCTGCAGTTCGAGGTCTTGCTTCATCAGGAAGCTCAGCATCTTCAACAACTTTCACCAGGCACCTCCATGTAAGCCATTTCCATATATACTCACATAATTTAATTCAGCAATTAGTTAATTGTGATAATTAAGCTTGTTAAATTGCTGATCACCTTAAAAATGCCACCTTTAGCCTTATGGGGAAATAGGGAGTTCGACCTCAAGTGGATGGAGCGATTGCTATTAACCAACTGAGCTACAAGTCCCTCGTTTTTGGGTTTTCGTTTTAAAAAATAATAATAAACCAAATTTTGCGTTGTGTTAAATTGATGTGGTTTGGTATGAGCAGGCATCTGGTGGAAGCAAAAAGATAGTTGGGGTGTTTTACAAGGCCAAGGAGTATGCAGAATTGAACCCCAATTTTCTGGGTTGTGAGGAAAGGGCCTTGGGGATAAGGGACTGGCTGGAATCACAGGGCCACAAGTATATTGTCACTGATGACAAGGAAGGACCAAATTGTGGTTAGTTCATACAATTTCACTACCTTTCTATACATTTCATATATAATGTGTGTGTGTGTGTGTGTATAAGTATATATAATGTCCTAATGCATGTGCTTATGTGAGTATAAAATTAGCTTACTTATGCTATATTTAGTTTGTAGACGTGTGTTAGGCTAGTTGGTGAGGGCAGTGTCACTCGAGTTGGATCCCCCTTTCCTATAGATTAGAGTAGTTTAGAGTATCGCCTTGTCAAAAACTATAAACAAAAGGACACACTTGGCTTGAACAGATATGCCAAGATTAATGTGATCAATGAATGTTGTTAAAAACTTTTGACTCAGTTCTGCTAAATTTTGTCCTGCTAGCAGCATGTATATGGCGTCGAACTCGCCTAATTACTGACCGGTAACTTGTTAATTTGACAGGTTTTTCCGCCTTGAGATGAGTTTTCCTTGGGCTTATAAGTTGATTTTTCTTAAATTGTTCGTACTTTAAACTAATGGGAACTTTGTATGTCCCTTTTGGTGCTGTTTATTCAGAACTTGACAAACACATTGAAGATCTTCATGTTCTCATAACAACGCCCTTCCACCCGGCCTATGTCACGGCCGAAAGGATAAAAAAGGCCAAGAATTTGCAGCTGCTTCTAACAGCTGGAATTGGCTCTGATCACATTGATCTGAAAGCTGCTGCTGCTGCTGGATTAACCGTGGCAGAGGTCACGGGAAGCAATGTGGTTTCGGTTGCAGAAGATGAGCTCATGAGAATCCTCATTCTCGTCCGCAACTTCGTACCTGGGTATCAGCAGATTGTTAGTGGGGAATGGAATGTTGCAGGCATTGCCTACAGAGCTTATGATCTTGAAGGAAAGACGGTGGGGACGGTTGGTGCTGGACGTATTGGCAGGCTTTTGCTCCAAAGGTTGAAGCCTTTCAACTGCAATCTCCTCTATCATGATCGTGTCAAGATTGACTCCGAATTGGAGAAACAGACCGGGGCAAAGTTTGAGGAGGATCTGGATGCAATGCTTCCGAAATGTGACGTTATTGTTGTCAACACACCCCTAACTGAAAAAACAAGGTACTTAAGTCAAGGCTAATCTTCTGACTATTTTATTCCGTTTGATTGTTATTTATTTGTTTTGGTGGAGAGGACTAATCTTCTGAGTTTATTACTGTATAATTGTGTTTAGAAGCTTATCTACGACTGACAAACTGATAGGATCAATACAATTAACGGGTATTGATCTTGTGACTCAGAGGACTGTTTGACAAAGAAAGAATTGCAAAATGTAAGAAGGGAGTTCTGATTGTTAACAATGCTCGTGGGGCAATCATGGACACGCAGGCTGTTGTCGACGCTTGCTCCAGCGGACACATTGCAGGTAACTCATGAACTGGTCAATGTTAATCGAGTTAATTCTGTTGACTTTTGCCTAATCGTTTCATTTGATTCTATAATTCTCCAGGTTACAGTGGTGATGTTTGGAATCCACAACCAGCTCCAAAAGACCATCCATGGCGTTACATGCCAAACCATGCTATGACCCCTCATATATCCGGTACCACAATTGATGCGCAGGTATATTTTTGACGTTTACTATCTTATCCTTTACGCTCATGGTTTCACTTCATTTGTTCCCAGAACTGAAATCCATCATGTAATTTGTGCAGTTGCGTTATGCTGCTGGGACGAAGGATATGCTCGACAGGTACTTCAAGGGAGAAGAATTTCCGGCACAAAACTACATTGTCAAGGACGGTAAACTAGCAAGCCAATACCAGTAGTTCGGGTGCTTGTTATTAAGTCTTCTACTTTGTGTTCGCTTGCAGATGCTATGAGGCAGGTCCATATGAATAATGTAGCCAAAAGCCTTCGACTTTAGGGTCTGTGTGCTTTTATCTTCTTCGTTTTCACCGGTTGTATAGCCGTATAGGGCACCGGTTTGATCCGAGCATGCATCACCATGTCTCTGTGAGACTTGTAAGAGTTTATGCTGCCGGGAAACTTTCCCTTTCAATAATGAAAAGTTGTAACTTTAATTAGCGAGTTTGCTCAAAACCCGTAAGAAACTTGTTCAAATGTTTAAGAGTATCTTCGTACGAGGTTCTGCGTTCGATTCTCACTTTGGTGCTCAAACAGAAGCTTGAACTTGTGCAATAACAATACCAATACCAAAAGAAAAAGAAAAACTTGTTTATTCTTAAAAATAGATAAGTCAATCTGGACTAGACGTCCATTGTAAGAGTATCTTCGCCTACGCATCCTGAAATTGTTCCTCCTAATCCTGCACCGACTGAGTTTGTCGCCCCTAATTTCACTACGATGAACCCTAATTCTTTCAGTTCTTCGATTTCATCGATCATGATCCAGAATATCAGTTGTACGGTGCCTACAAAGCTGAAGCGTGACAATTATTGGGTCTGGAAGGCTCTCTTTGCTCCAATTTTCAGGCTACATGCTCATCGGCATTGTTGATGGTTCTGAGATATGTCCACCGCCTTATCTTCTTGATCAAACTGGTCGCAATACTGGAATTCCTAACCCTGCCTTTGAAGCTGGGTATGAAAAGGATCATAATATCCTTATTTGGCTTAATTCTACTCTCTCTATGAATAAATCATTTTGTTTACTGTTTGTGTGACCTCATCTTGTGATCTTTGGCTTATTCTTGAAAATCGATTTGAAGGTGTATCTGCTGCTCATATTCATCAAATCAAATCTCGTCTACATTCTGTACACAAAGGTGATCTCTCGATTTTTGAGTATCTGCAACGCATCAAAGGTTTTTAGATGCTTTAATGGTGGCTGGTTCTCTGATTTTTTATCATGATCTTATTGATGTCACTCTTAATGACTTATCTGATGAATATGAATCTTTTATTGACTATTATGCTGAGAATTTCATCAACTACTCTGGATGAACTGCATGGTATGTTGATCAACAAGGAATTGTTCATGAATCGCAAAAAGAAATGAGCTGTCTCTTCCGCTCAAGAACCTTTCCAGGCCTTTGATGCTCAATTTCAGGGTCATTTCCTTCCTACACCACAATACTATTCCTTCCCCAAAAGTTTATTCTGCTCAGTTTCATGCTCCTTCCAAATTTCAAAACAATTGTGGTAAATGATCATTTCAGCGTAACGGTCATGGTAATTACTCCAAGAACTTCTGTTAGATCCCACATCGCCTAGGGGAGTGGATCCTCTATGCCTTATATGTACATGCTCACCTCTATATAGCACAAGGCTTTTTCGAAGCTCACTGGCTTCGGGTTCCATCGGAACTCCGAAGTTAAGCGAGTTCGCGCGATAGCAATCCCAGAGACAATATCATGCTACATCGGAATTTAGCCTGGGATGTGGTGAAGCCCGAGTCGAGATGTGACAACTTCAACAATTCTCCTTACATCAAGGTTTGTGGTTTAAGAAAGGCTTTTTACATCTCATGTCTTTTTTAGACGCTGATTGGGTCGTCTGCATCTTTGACAAAAGATCTACAAGTGGTTATTGTGTGTATTTGGGTAATAACTTGATTAGCTAGAGTGCAAAGAAGCAACACACTGTTGCTCGATCCTCCACGGAAGCTGAATATCGTTCTGTCACCCACACTGCTGCAGAATTGACATGGATCTGCAAAATCTTTAATGATATCACCTTCCCACTTAGACAGGTTCCTCAACTGTGGTGTGACAATGTCTTGGCAATCTCTTTGGCATCTAATCATGTGTTTCATGCTCGTATGAAACACGTGGAAATTGATTATCATTATATCAGAGAATTTGTCTTAGCCAATTTGATTCGAAATCCATATGTTAGTACTCAACATCAAATTGCAGATATTCACACCAAGGCACTTTCCAAGGCCAAATTCAAGTTGTTACAGTCCAAGCTATCTCTCGGGTCTCTTTCGTTTAGCTTGAGGGAGGGTAAAGGGACACCTCGTACTTAGATATTTTCTGTTTGTTGTGACAATTGTAAATTGGTTACAACTATTTTGTAACTAATCACTGTGTTAGTAGTTAATCTAGCAAAGTGTATATAAACACAGTTGTAATTACTTCCTCATTAAGAAATGAAATACATAAAGCATTCGTTCTATCGAATTGATCATGACGACGTGTACCAACAAGATTTGTTCATGAAAAAGTGGAAGATCAAACGGCCGTTGGTCCAGTAACCTGTCGTTTCAAAAGGCGATTTCGACGGTCATCAAATACCTCCACCACACGCTTACTCTCACTACTGTAAAAAACCAAAAACAGATTAATCTCTCTCTCTCTCTCTCTCTCTCTCTCTCTCTCTAAACGGTAATCCCAAAACTGAATCCTGTCTACAATTTCTTCATTGTCTAGTATTAAGGATTCTGAGTTGTTGTTTCAAGGATCAGATATTGTTTTTGAGAACCAAAAAACCATCTGAAAAGAGAAAGAAAGGTTCCTGCTTTTTGCTTTTTTAGCTGCTGATATGTGTGTGTGTGTATTTAATTTCTGTTTTGTTTTCATCAAGTGCGTGACTAATCGTGTAATTTGTGACTAATTACAAAGATAAATGTTGCATCTTTATGAACATTTGTGACTCATTGAATTCGTGACGTTTTGTTCTTTCAGATGTTATGAAACTTTCTTGTATCTTGTGGCAAATGTGGTTAAATTCGAGTACTAGATTCATGTTTGTATTTGGTTAAGATTTTTTGAGGTTGTTTCGGATTGTTGACGTGTTTCTCCTTGTTGGGTAATGTTAGAGTTTTTTTGTTAGAAATGGCGGAAACAAAACCGGCAAAGAGGAAACCTGTATTCAAGAAGGTTGATCAGCTGAAACCGGACACCAAGGGGCACACCTTGGTTGTGAAGGTTGTTAGTGTGAAGATGGTATTGCAGAAGGCCCGTCCTGATGGAATCCGAGTTCGTCAGATGAGGATCGCCGAATGCTTGGTCGGAGATGAAACCGGAACCATCGTTTTCACTGCCAGAAATGACCAAGGTAGTGTCTTTTATAAGACATTGATCTTGATCTTGTTCTTGGTCTTCTGTCGACGACATGTTTTACTTTCGTTGTTGTTGTTGGGTTGCACAGATTTTAGATGAGTTTTGTTCTTACTATGTCTTGGCCTTTCTTATGGACAGTTGATTTGATGACAACTGGTGCCACGGTGATTCTGCGCAACGCGAAAATAGACATGTTCAAGGGTTCTATGAGGCTTGCTGTGGACAAATGGGGTCGAGTTGAAGTAACCGAACCCGCCAGCTTCTCTGTTAAGGAAGATAACAACTTGTCACTGGTGGAATATGAGCTGATTAATGTTAATGAACTGGCTAATCCTGGTGCCAGTCAAGTGGTTTGTTGAAAAGCGACCTTCGCTAGCGTGTTTCACATCCCTGCTCAGTTCTTAGAAACGGGTTTCAATCAGTATAAAGATATGTAGTTTTTCTCAGTGCCTGCCTAAGAAAATTTCTTGTTTAGCAGATGTCGCGGAGCTATTTCTACGGGAGTCTACTTGTACGAGGGGCGCCATTGCAACTCTGGCCTGCTGCACAGCCGGTAACTCCAGTCAAATAGTGTGTAAAAGGAACTTGCTTGCTTTTCTTTGATTTGTATTAGGCTATGAGCTGTTGCTGTAATGAGATTATCATATTGTATGCAAGTGGAGTTTCTGCCCTATGTGTTTTTCGTCGTGGAATTTTCTCTTCTATCCCCTACCAACAAAAGTATGCAGTTGGATGGCTAATCTTCGGTTGATTAGTTGTTTCATAAACTTACACTATCATTCAAACTTTGAAACAAAAACTGCGAATCCATGCTTACAAGTAACGAGTGAGGAGAAGCACTTCGATCAAGTGTCTCTATCTCGGTTTTGTTGAAGGAACTGGAGGTCCTTCATCTGCATTTGAACAGCTTCTTTTGACAGGGGCTTTGGCTCTCGAACACTGCCGTCAGTACTGCCTTCGGCTACTTTCTGTGCCTTTCGTTAATGATAACGGATGGATAAACAGCCCTAAGCATTACATTTAGAAGTCTCTCATCTTCTTCTTCTATCGGATCCTTCTCAAAGCAACAGAGGTAAATCCCTTCAAGGGCTTTCTCAACCCGAATCTCCATTGGGATAGTCGGCGTAGGCGCCTTTAGTTTCGCCCATCTCTGCATTTTTCATACATCGTTTTTAGTTAGAACCATGAACAAAATTTCAGCCACGCACAAGAAGTAAATGATCAAAACTTCGGACCAACCAAACCAACCTCTTTTGCCTCGTTGATCAAGGAAATGAAATTCTGCTCTTCGAATTCGCTATCATTTGAAACACGCAGCCTCGCCGCCCCTTCTAAATCTCCTCGGATTTCAGAAGACCGGCACCAATGGCTGCTACCCAACAGCACATTAGAACATACAGAGGATCCCCTGCCTACACAAAACAACAAAATCCAACTCAAAACTCATCCGTTTTTCCAAATTCCTTCTCAAAAGGTACCTCCGTAAAATGTGCTTTTTGCCAACCCAAAGCACTCGCAGAAAACTTGGGAGTGCTTATGGGTCAAGAAGAGCATTTTTACAGAAGTATTGGCAAGTGTTTATTCATGAGACACTGTTTTGCTAGGATAGCACCAAACAAATTGGAACCAACTCAAGCTAATCCATAGGAAATATATCAAATGAAATGCAAGAACAAAATATAAAAGACACCAAGATTTAACGAGGTTCCTCAACAGTCAGTGTAACTGGAGTACGTCCTCGGAGCAGTAGGAGCTCACCCAATAATCTATTATCAACCAAATGTGAGTTTACAAAGTTTTGGTAAGCTCACAACTTACAAGTCGTGACACCTTTTAGAAGACCTTTTTTCACAAGCCCTTGTAGAGCTTTCTCACCGGCATGACCTAATCTCATATGCCACAGTCTAGTAGTATCTGAATCAGATGTGCCCATATTTTCTGAGACTACAGACGCTTCACCCGTCACGGTGCTTCCTTGCAATAGATACAAATGACCACATCGAGAAGCTTTCATCACAACAAGTGCACCATAAGTAGCTTTCAATGTCTGCCCATCTGAATAAAACATGAAACCCTTGGAGTCTAAAATGCCCAAAGAAATAAGATTTTTCTTTAAATTCGGTACATACCGAACACCTATTAACTCTTTAACCATGCCATCAAGCAACTACAAATGAACTGTACCAATCCCTTTTGTTGTACAAGGATTGTCATGTCCCATGAACACAACACCACCATCAAACTCTTTCAAGCTTGAAAACTAATCCTTGTGAGGAGTCATATGATGAGTACAACCCGTATCCAACGCCCGCTTAGTAGCACAATCAAATGATGAGGAAGTGGTTAAAGCAAAATAAAAAAAGTCTGTTTCAACCTCAGCAACATTGGCTTCAGAACCTTCTTTTTCTTTGGTCTTCAGTCTAGGACAATCTTTCTTCCAATGACCCTTATTACGACAAAAGACACATTCATCTATTTCCAAGGTTTTTCTACCTTTAGAGTTTCCTCTAAGTCGAGAGTGTGATTTTTTCCTACTAGAAGATGATCTCATCTCCGATGATCTACCTCTAACAAATAAAGCTTCAGAGGTACTATCATGATTTTTATCTCTATGCCTCATTTCATAATTCACCAAGACATTTGACACATCTTCAAATTTCACAGTTTCTTTACCATGCATAATAGTGGTAACAAAATGCTCATAAGAGTCCGGCAAGGAATTCAACAATATTAAGGCTTTATCTTCATCATTAATATCCTCATCTAAATTTAATAAGTCGGCAATCAACTTATTAAAAGTATCAAGGTGTCTAATCATTTTTGCACATTCTTTGTATTGGAAGCGGTAGAGCTTTTTCTTCAAGTGTAGCCGGTTCTTTGCACTCTTCGTCATATACTTGTCTTCCAATTTTTGCCACAACACACTTACTAATGTCTCCCGCATCACAAAATACTTCTGAGTTTTTGCAAGGCACAACCGAATTGAAGAGCAAACCCACAAATTTAATTTCTCCCATTCCAGCTTCGACATAGCTTCCGACTTCTCTCCCAAAGCGGCAAGTAGATATTGTTGAGCCAACACATCTTTGACCTCACATTGCCACATCCTGAAGTTGTTTGTGCCATCAAATTTTTTCACTTCGAACTTTGCATTTTGCACCGTAGTTCTTGCAAACCCGAAGCTTCTTCCAAAAGGATTCTCATCTTACCCATCTGACATCTTTGGCAACTATACAGTACCCAAGAGCAACTAGTGCTCTTATACCAATTGTTGTGCTAGAATAGCACCAAACCAATTGGAACCAACTCAAACTAACCCACAGGAAATATATCAAATGGAATGCAAGAACAAAATATAAAAGACATCAAGATTTTAACGAGGCTCCTCAACAGTCAGTATAACTGGAGTACGTCCTCGGAGCAGTAGGAACTCACCCAATAATCCACTATCAACCAAATAGGAGTTTACAAAGTTTTGACAAGCTCACAAAACAAAACCCCAATACAACCAATAAAGTTCAAAACTATTACAACAACAAAGAGGAGCCCTCTTCCAATGGCGATGCGGCACCCCTTCTTCTCTGCTCTGATGCTCTGCTGCTCTCTGCAACTGCAATCAGAAAATGCTCTCTGTTTTCTACTTCTTTTTCAACTCTCCCTCGGTTTCTCTCTTTACCAAAGGCAGCACAAAAACCGAATTCTCTACCTTTGAAAAAAGCCAAAGCAAAAGGAATAATCATTCCTCAACAGACATCATCATTTTCTTTTCACCAAAGACACATGATGTTGTCCACCTTCCTTTTGTTTATATTATTGATTGTTTATTAGCCGAAAGTTGGCCACTTTGCCACTAATTCAACAGACATTTCCTAGTGCTTTTCTGGTAAACACTTGCACTTTTATTAAAAAATTTGATGTGAGCAAAAGTACCTTTTAAATAAGCATTTCTAAACAGGCGCTAAAGATTTGATCTTTACCCGGCCTCGTCGAACTTGGAACTCATAAAAAGCTCTAGAATCATCAGTAGTGCACTTCTTCCCCACCCGCCTCCGAAACTCTACGAAATCAACCGAGGCTGCCTTCGTCGCTGAGAATCCTCGCTATCAACCCGACAACTGGGAGGGAGCCGATGACCTTGCTAGCGAAGCTGGGGATGGAATTTGGATTGTCCATGTAAGCTTTAACAGAGAAGAATCCACTTGAGCTTGGAGCTTTGGAATTCTTGTGTCTCGTGGGGTCCCCATAGATTTGGCCGAGGTATAGCAGAGAAGGCGAAATGGGGTGGTCGGAAGGGTTGCTGAGGTGGTGGTTTACAGCGGTGGAGAGCTGGGGAGTGAAGTTGGATTTGATTGAAAAGGAAGTGGATGACACAACCACCATGGTTGCAGAAATGGAAGTTAATCTCGTTGGTGCTGGATCACCCTCTCGTTTATATACGTTATCTTATCCGATAATTTGAGTGCGGCCCATTAAGAAGTATGGTTTGAGCCCATGGAAAAGGCCCATCAGTCTCATCTTTCTTCATATCTAAGATTGGGCCAAGCTGAATAGTTTCACTAGAGATGGCCAACCATTCAATGTTTAAAATATCCACAAAATTAATGATATTTTTTTTTTGAAATATTCAAAAATTAAAGAAATCAATGAATATTGAAGATTCTTACCGATTCATTACATAAATTTTGTTGACAAATTTCAAACATTTGATTTTTTATTGAGAAATTTTTCTCTAATTTCGACTAAATCCGAATGAGTTGATATGCCTTCCACATTACAAATTTTCATATTTTCCGTCTAAAGCAATTGATATTGTTATTGATATCAATACATCTATCAGTATTTCTGTAAATTTGTATATCAATATTACCACCTATATAAATATTTTAAACATCACTAAACGCATCGCTCTCTAATTTCAACCGACACCGTCGGAGTTTGTTGTACAGTTCGACGAAATCTTTCTATTTATAATCAAGTTAGTGGATTAACAACCAACTGTCACCCACCACAACTCACTTCATATTTCAATCCATGTAAATTGCTCTCTCAGTGAATTCGAGTACCCACCTCAATGATTCACCGCAAACCAAACTAGTCCTAGAATTAAAAATTAAAGAAAAAAAAAACAAAAAACATTCTTTCTTTCTTTCTTTTTTTTTCGAAAACAAAATACATACTTCGTACTGGTTTGGTACTGAAGCTTCTTTTATAAAATGTAGGTATAAAAAAAAAACTGAGCTCAAAAAGGTGATTGATAAACCCTTAAAAAAACTTATTTTCACAGTTTTTAATAAATACAAAAAAACTAAAAACGTGAAACAGTAAAAATAAATTTATTCTCATAACAAAGTAGAATCAGCCTCTCTTTTTTTAACTGAAATACCAAACCAGGCCCTTAATCCCACATTAATAAACAAGTGTGAGGATTTTGCGGCACCACACACCCTCCCACCTGGCCTCTCCCGCCGACCCTCGCCCTGTTCCCTTCTCGTTTTTGTCTCTCCATATCCCTGTCCTAATTTCTCGGAATTTAAGTTTGTAATTATCTCGTCTTTATCGCTAATCGGATGTGATTAACTGTAAAGTACGTTTCTTTCTTCTATCTCCGACCTTATTTCTCTGCTTACGCACCGATTTCTCTGTGTCTGCGAAATCCATCACTGCTACTGCAAG